TTCAACCTAATCTGTCAAAATTGAAGGATTTAACCTAATCTGTGTTCATGTATATTCAACCTAATCTGTCAAAATTGAAGGATTTAACCTAATCTATGTTCATAATTTAGAGAGAAATCGAAAAGGGGAAAAGGGGAAAAGGGATTTACCTGTTGACGATGGGCGACGGAGACGAAGGGCGACGGCGACGGTGAGCAACGGAGACGAAGGGCGACGGCGGTGGCAACGGAGAAGAAGGGCGACGACGATGGTGAGCAGCGGAGACGAAGGGCGACGGTGAGCAACGGAGACGAATGGCGACGACAGTGGCAACGGAGACGAAGGGCGACGGTGGTGGCAACAGAGACGAGGGGCGACGGCGACGGTGAGCAGCGGAGACGAAAAGCAACGGTGAGCAACGGAGACGAAGGGCGACGGCGGTGGCAACGGAGACGAAGGGCGGTGGCAACGGAGACGAAGGGCGATGGTGACAGTGAGCAATGGAGGAGACAGCGATGTAATCTGTGACGAGAACGGTAGAAATCGGTACCAAGGACGAGAACGGTAGAAATCGGTACCAATGGAGGAGACAGCGATGAAGGGCAAGAATGAAATCCCACGGGAATGGATTTCAAAATCCCGTGTATTTTCAAAGGATTCTCAAATCCAGTGTTGGTGGGATTTTAAATGAATCCCAGGATTTTAAATCCTACCATTCCTACAAACCAAACGCAGGATTGGAATGGATTTCAAATCCAAATCCTTTCAATTCCATTCCATTCCTGCAAACCAAACGCGCGGGGTGAACACGGGTTGGGTTGGGCGGTTTATGACATTTTTACAACCCAACCCATTCAAAAGTATAACCTAACCCAACCCTTGCGGGTTAGGGCGGGTTGGGTTGGGTTGGCGGGTTACTAAAATTCATAAAAATGACAAATGAAATATGATAAATAATACTAAAAATATACCCAACAAAGTCATTAGTTATTACAATCATCCAAAAATATATCTAAATTCTCAAGTCTTGGAATCAAATTTCAAAAGTTTGATACGAGCAACAAACTTCTTATTTCCATATGTCAAAGTATGTGTCCTCGGAAAGATGGTCATAATTCTTCTTGAACATCGAGAGCTGCAGAAAGCCAGAAACATAACTTTTAGTTTATGCAACATGCCATCCTTTCAACCCCCTATAAGTAACACAAAAACGTATCCTAAATCTTGATTACAAATATCACCTTATGACTATTAGCTTTCTAATCTTATTAAATTTATGGACAATTTAATAATTCATGGTATTTCAAAACCTTGTATCACTATCTACAGATTTGGACACTTGGTCAACAAAATGATGATTATAGCTTTGCCAATGATCTTTTTACTAATATTGGATATGTTTACTAATATTCTAGCAACAATATACATGGAACTTACTAAGGAATACGTCTTTTTAGGTGAAGAATTCTATAACTCTCTGAAAGGATCTTTATGTCATCT